CGCCTGTTTGACTGAGGTGTGTTGTAGAAGAGATGTGTCTAAACGTCACGAAGTAGCTCTGAAGGGCTGAACTCCAGAATCATTTCAGTTCCACTGAAATGATTCAGTTCAGAAGGTGCATCTCACCTTCCAAAAACAGAAGGTGAGACGCACCGGGTGCATCGTACCCAGTGGTTGCTATGTTCTCTCAGACTCCATTAGCTACAGACCTCCAAGTTTCATGTGGCCTTCTTGCATCACGAAGTGGAAATCAAAGCAGCGTTGTTAAGTGTGTCACCACTGGCTTCTTGAGCTGCAGAAGTGTGTCCTCTGGAGTGATGATTCACCCTTTTCTCTCTGCCAATCCAGCGGACGAGTCTTGGTTTGGCAGTTGCCAGGAGAAACAGCACTTTCCTGATGGCACTGCGTCAGGTTAGGCGGAGAGCAGGATGTGTGGAGATGTTTTCCAGGAGCAAGCCAAGAGACTTGGGAGAATTTCTTGCTCCCAACTTTACGATAGTTTGGAGGATGGTCCTTTCCTGTTCCAGATTTTTACCAAGTGTAAAAGTCAGAGTCCATAAAAACATAGATGAGTGTTTACATTACACCCAATGGACCAAGAATGGGATGTCCCTTAAGTTTATACAAATGAGTATACTTTTGGATATATTGCACAAACTTACACATTATTTCCTGTCTTAATGTGCAACAAGTAACAAAAACCGTCAAGCCCATGACAAACTGAACAGGCACCAACTTCCCAGATCCCATCTAATGGCAAATTCACTACAACCTTTATTGAGGTATTTGATCTTCTGCTTGTTGGTTGTTTCTACGAGACGAGGCTGCTGTTTATTTCAGGCACATGGGTACAGAATGATGATTCAAAGGGATTTACGAAAGTTGGAAAGGATGCAATGGGGCTACTGAACGAAGGCTGGAAGTACACACACCAGGGATTGCACGGCAAACCCCAGAAATTCCATAAAAGCTGTGACGCCTCGACACGGAGTCGCCATGTGTTCAGCCATAAACAGCAAGTTAACATGTTTCATTTTCCTGCAGCAGCAGGAAAAGACTCAAACATTCTGTATCAGGCGTCCTGCCTTCATTTGCATATCTCTCCCTTCCGTCTTGGTGCTGATCTGTCAGTCTTTGCAAAGACTTTGCTGCATCGCAACGCTCTGCCGTTGCCATGGCAACAATAGAGAACCCAAGGAAAGAAAAAAGAAAAAGGCTGTTTTTATTATTTTCTTTCTTTCTCTCTTCTCTCCAACATCTGCTGCTGTAGCCTCAGACTCAGGCAGATGTGCGAGTCCGTGCTGCGACACTAAGAATCCACGTTGGTGGACAAAAAAAAAAAAAAAAAAAAGAAACCACCAAAAAAAATTCCAGTTGAAAAAAACACAAAGAACCACAAAAACCACCAAACC